ATGTTTATTGTGTATTATTTTCAACGTGTTTATTGCTAAGTTTAGTGTGGCAAAATAGAAGCGAAGCCGTAATTCGCGTGCAGTGTATCCAGTTACCATTACAACCTCACGTGCTTCCTGCTGCTGCTCTATGTAATCAGAGTGTGAATTTGTAGATTTTCTATAGCAAAACTAAAATGTGTTTAAAAGTCCAACTGACCAAATCGTCCGGCTCGGTTTGCCCCCCCCCCTCGAACTCGAAGACATCTCTAATTTGACAGTTAACCATCTGATCTCACTCAGTGACTCTAGGCTACGTAGGACGGGACGAAACCATGCAGTGAATGGGGGGAGATAATTTTGCTGGAAATGCAGAAATAAGCCGTAATTTTGTTTTATTTGTAACTCTTTGGTAGATACATTTATAATTTCTATTACATTACTACTACTACTGTTACTACTAATAAAACAGATCTCTGGGGGCCCCAAAAGTGCGTGGGCCCTTAGAATCGTCCTAACTTTCCCCCTCTTAGCGGCGCCCCTGGGTGTGGACACCCAAATTGCTTGTCGAATCTTGTCGCGTGTAGTTAGGACACGGTGTTAACCCCAATGGAATGATTGGAATTTAATTAAATTATAAATTCTAATAAATTCTAACTCATGGTTGCTCAAAATTTCATGAAACCTACGTTTTTATTTCTAACAAAACATCAAAACAACATAAATACGAAAAGATGAAAAATATGAAAAGTTTTCAAACAACATTTTACTTGCATAAACATTCACTTTCAGATGAAAACGAGCTAAAATATTTCATGCTGCAATGGTTCGTCAATTGTCGTACAAATTCATGTTAATAAAAAAAAGTCCCTAAAAAAAATGTATGTCTATTCGGAGGGTCTTAAAGCACTTGCAAAAGTTTAGTTCCCTTACTAAAACTATGCCGTTTTTAGAAGTTTTAATGTCTCTCTTTTGGGTCAAAATGGACCCAATTTGATATGAGGGTTAAACAAAACCAAAAGAACACAATTCCTGCAATATTGAATTCCAATCTGATTTCAAACACAGGCGTTGATCTGCCTGTGAAGATCATGACAATCATACTCCTTTTATAAATCAATACGTCTAAAATATATACAAGCAAATGATATATAACATTAAAGTTGGCAGCTCTTTTAGTAAAGGTCATGGTAGTATGACAAGCTAATATTTGGAATACAAAACAATTTTAACAAAAACCCTGAAGCCATTAAAGTCAGCAGTATGATGAAAAATTATGCGCTTTTCATCAGATAGCAGATCATTTTGCCTCACACGGTACTATCTAATGAACTGTTCTTATTTGAATCATGATCATTATTAAAAATGCAACCTGAACCTGCAACAGAATCCACCTGAACCTGCGATTTTTTGTAACTTTCTAAAGTTTTAACTTCAGCCAGTCATTACCATATTCTTATAAAGAAAAAAAAATGCATTTGATGTATTCACTTTTACATACTACATGCATTTGCCCATAGATGCATCCTTCTATACACCCTAGTAAAACAACATTAACCGAGTTGTTTTTAATAAATGAAACCCTTTAATAAGAAATAAAATGGCTAACATCATTTGACTTTTTTTTTTACCGATCTTTGTTTTGTCCCCCCACCAGGTGAAACAAATTCCAGGAATGGGGCATAAAATCTCCAGGTGTGAAGGGTCGTAGAGTTCAAAGAGCCATCACACCGATTCTACCAGACACCCCCATCTCGTTTTCTAGCACAGCATGAAATCTCCTGTGTGTCGTAAAACAATGCTGTGTGTGTCTGGTGTCAAACGGCACCCCCGTTTGCTCATCTGTGTTTTAGAGTCACGTGGTTTTAGGCCTGAAATACGGAAGACTCTTACAGCTTTTACTCGCTTTGGCACTATTTTCATAAGAAAACTACATTTTTTTAATTCTTAGTACAAAAACCCAACTGCTAGTCATTCTTAAAACCCCAGATCTCAAGCTTTCATTTCAGTTTACATATATCCTTTCCATATAACCATTGTTTCACAACAAGATCATTGTAACATGTAATGAGAACATTTGAACAGATCAGTCGAAAGGGGGGCCGGGTCGGTCAGACATCGCTTTGGGCCCCTATAACTCAAATGTTATTATTAAAAGGCGTTTATTTAGTTAAAAAATTAAACATTTCACAGTCAAAACACGGGCTTGTGGTTTCAGAGCAGTTTGCAATCAATGAATACCGCACATCTATGCCAAGCGATTATGACATTGTTTACTTTATGGTGTTTACACTGTAATATAATGTAGATGGTTAAGAGTGCATATTTGATCCCCCTCATCTGTTTGAATGACCAGCCAGAAAGAGTAGAGCATTGACCATTCAAAATAAGCTGTAAAAAAATGTGTCCTGCAATATGCATAAAGTTCTGGTTAATATTGGTATTTTGGTTACACAAAGTGTCTCTGGCATTTAATTCAACGTAAACTTTTGTGGCTTCTTGGGCTGCTCCTTCACAGGATGGAAAGTCTAACAACATTATTTAACACTGTATATTCACAGATGATATAGTCTCTAGATTTATGTATCAGCACAATAATCTGTTAAACTGTGTGCATGTATATAAACACAAGGCCTACAGTTTTAAGCAGAAATATTTAAACGCCTTGCATACTTTTTGAAATCTTATAAATTACATTTTACTTTTATCATTTGTTTTTTTAATGTGCGCCTACATTTTTCATCTTAAGGGGATGGTCTATGGGGGGAAAGTTTTTAAAAAAACGCGCGTACAGTAAGAGAGTTAAGCCTACTTTTCAAAAGCCATGAGAAAATGTGTGAATAACTCACCAGGAGTTGTGTTTTCTTCACCGTTTCGAGCCTCGTCAACTGCGAACAGAAAAAAAAACCTCGTTTAACACGACAAGAACACAATTCTTGCGATATTTTTTCCAGACCGAGGCAGAAGATGCTACTCTTACAATGTCTATGAAGAAATTATACATACCGTACAGTTTGGCAGCCATTTTAGTGCTGGTAATTTACAGGTAGCAGTAGCACGACGAGTCGGCTTTATGTGATAGTAACAATGGGTCGCGTTCCCGCAACAAACGTTTAAATCTTCCGCTAACAGTTTGGGCGGTACACAGTGACGCGAGAAGTGGGGCGTGTTCCCATAAAATACATAAAGTCCTCTTTAAATCATGAACATTATTTGAAATGAATCAACCTACATTTTCCTTCACTTTCTACTTCGCTATATCTGTCGGGGAAATAATGTTGCCATTATAATATGACATGTAGCCAGTCACAAAAATAATGTTCAAATGCTTTCGCCGTCTTTAAACTGTAGCTGATGTGCACATATGTGAAACAATATAGGCTATTACTTCAGAAACATTTTCCATTTCTTTGTTGAAATACTTGTCTTGGTTTTTTTTTTATGCATGCCTTTCTGGAACCACTGACTTTTAAAGTTTAAGGTTTTTGGTTCTCACTGCCTCGTTTGAATGTGAAACCTTTCTTTACCAAATGCAGTTTTCTCTTCTCTTTTAAAAACAAACACACACACACAAATCCATTGTCTGCATTTAGCCTACCGATGTTTCCCCACATCTTCTTTTACATTGTAAAAGTTTAGCACATCGTTTTGGAACTATTTCACAACACTGTATTAAACAAAGGGCTGACAATAATCGCCTCCTGAAATGTCCCATCTATTCCACATTTAACCTGGTCTATGGCCTGTTTGGTGTAAGTAAGACTCAGTTTCAAAAACGGAAGAAAACAAAATTTAAGGGGGTCTGAATACTTTCCGTACCCACTGTAAGTAAGACTCAGTTTCAAAAACGGAAGAAAATGTAACAGGAAATTCAAATCCTATTTTAATATTTTTCTTCTTCTTCAAGTAAATAGAAACAAACAAGAGGAGTAATAACAATCGAAGCTACATAGAAAATGCAGCAGTAAAATATTTTGAATATGCGATTTGAATTCTATATAGTAGATTAGAATTAGATTCTGAAGCCTTAATCCATATAAACACCAAAAGAAATGCAAGAACACTAACGCAGACCATTTACATTTCCCATTCACGCACTTAAAAAAAAACTAGAAAATGAGTAAAAAGTTCAGCTGATATGGTCATGAGGACACTACAGTATCTGTGTATCATACAACAAGAGTTTTACACGGTGATCATGCGGAGATCAAGCTGAGCTTTTTACACTAACATTTTAGGGTTGAACGTGAACCTCTTTCCAAATTACAAGCATTAAATCCTGCTTAACCCTCATTCTTACTATTACATTATTTATAAAGAGCTGGAGTGTCTGTGACCCCAAGCATAACAGTATAGTAAATTTAAACAGTGCTACAGATGGTAACTCGGGTCAAGCGCAGCGTGAAAAGCCCATGTTCTATCCTAAATGAAACTGTGTGTGTGGTCAGACTAAAGCGAGTAAAGTTTGAGCTGTTCCTCCACTTCTCCCTCTGTCATCTCTCCAAACGTGTCCTGATTCTCTCGGAGCAGGTTGAAGATGGCAGTCAGCTGCTCCTGCTGTACCCTACAACACAAACACAACGGCATAAAGAAAAAATCACACAAAGGCTTCAGTTCAGTTCAAAAAGAACTTAAAGGGATAGTTCACCCAAAAATGAGAATTCTATAATTTACTCACCCTCAATTTGTTCCAAACCTGTGTGACTTTTCACACAAATTAAGATATTTTGAAGATTGTTGGTAACCAAACAGTTGGTGGTAGTCATTAACTTCTGTAGTATTAAAAATACTATGGCTACCACCCTAGTCAATGGCTACCAGCAACAGTTGGTTACCAACAATATTCAAAATATCTTCTTTTGCGTTTAGCAGATAACATTTTTTTAACTCGTACAGGTTTGGAACGACACGAAGATGCGTAAATGACAACATTTTCATTCATGCCCATTTAATTGAAGGAAATGAAGTTGAAAATTATATTTCTGTTTGGCGTTTCCTTGTGTTAAGTATGGTGTATCAGAAGAAATAATGCCACAATGGTCAATCATCAAATTCGGCTCTTTATTGATATTACAAAAGCCATTAGGGTGAATCTCACAAAACCCTATCAAAGTCACATTTCACTGCAAAATCAAAATGATATTCTCTTTACAATAGCGCAGAAAAAAGCATGTAGCCTACACGTGGTAGCATCTGTTGTATTACCAATAATTAAATGTATCACCATATTTATTACAGTAAAATATTACTTTTTTTAGAATGCAAACAAATCATAATAGTTCTAAAAATAGGCTTTATTTTTCTTTATGCAAATTATAACTTCTTATCCATTCTCTTCTGATTCTGGTATGAAATGTCCCTCTTTATATTTGATGAGATTCACCTAATTTTTTAACATAACATCCAAAAACAATAACAACAACAACAACAAAAATCCACATGGTTTCTACATTTCATCATGTACATGTCAGAGTCTGCAGTGCAAGCACTTTTCCATCAGCCTGTGATGGTCATAGCTGTGCGAGTCCACAAGAGCGTGCGATGGCATTTCAGAAGAGCAGGATGGGCAGAATGCGAGACTGAATGCTGATTGGCTGACTCAAGAACACATGACGCTCAACAAAGGCACAAGATTATTTCAGGTCATGAGAAATCCCAATTTCTGAATTCCTTATTCAAATCTAAGAAAGAAGTTCCCTCTCTTTCCTTTGCAAAAGAGTATCTGAATCGTACACTAAATGAACTGTATGTAAACTATAACATCACAGTGTTTTAATATGCTTTTAATAGGTTTTAAAGGGCTATAGTATATAGTTGTACCTAACTGTAAAAAAAAGGATAATCTTATGTTCTTTGGCATTTTGCTTTAAGAAGGTATTCACAGGCCGAAATCAAAGAAGAAAAAAAGAAGAAAAAGCACAAAGTCACTCCTCGAAGGTCCTCATTTGGTTCATTATAGAGAGCATTTTTCCCCCCACATGCTCCGACTTCTGCTTACTCAGCATCTCTGAAAAATAAAAATGAGATTTTTCAGTATCATAAAGCCACAGCCTCAAACAATTCACCTGAAAGTCTCCAGGAACACACAGTCCCTCTACATACAAACACAGATGCATGAATTCACAAAACCCCAGAGAAACATTAACCGTACACAGACTAAATTAAACCGTTATCTCATTAGCAACTCTAAATTAAAAAGGAAGACACTGCAGGTAAATAAGGTTAAAAAAAATGTACTTTCACATTACACTTTACTTTCACCAGTTAATTAATCACACTACATAAGACAATTGTTTTGTATAACAAGTTTTCTGAAATTCTCTGTTTATATATATATATATATATATATATGGAATAAAATGTTAAATATATAATCAAGTGAATGATATATGAACAAATCCATCCGTAAAAACCTTCAGAATATAGACAGGAATAACTGTAATGTCCGGTTTAAGTGCTGCTGAAGTGGACATTTCTGGTTCATTGCAGGAGGAAAAAAAAAATTCTTTCTTTAAGAAAACGGCCTTTATAGATGCGCGTTATAGTTTAAATGTACAGAAGCAAATAAATCGTGTTTTAAAACAGATTTGGAGAAATGTAGCATTACATCACTTGCTCACCAGTGGATCCTCTGCAGTGAATGGGTGCCGTCAGAACGGGAGTCCAAACAGCTGATAAAAACATCACAATAATACACAAGTGATCCACACAACTTGTCTTGTGAAGTGAAAAGCTGTGTTTGTGTAAGAAACAAATCCATCAATAAAGCATTTTAACTTTAAACTGACGCTTCTGGCCAAAATATCAGTCCATAATCCATAATAACACTGAACTCTTTGCTTGTAAATGGTGCTTGATTTGTGCATGTTTCTCTCTTCATTCAGAGGAGACGACTTTTTCGTTGGAGGATTACTTGTGGATTATTGTGATGCTTTTATCAGCTGTTTGAACTCTCATTCTGACGGCACCCATTCACTGCAGAGGATCCACTGGTGAGCAAGTGATGTAATGATAAATTTCTCCAAATCTGTTCTGATGAAGAAACAAACTCATCTACTTCTTGGACAGCTTGGGGGCGAGTAAATTAAGCAATTTGTTTTATTATTGACTGCAAGATGAATATATTGAAGGAGCAGGTCACTCACCGTTAGCAGCTCTGGTGTTTTGCTGTTACTTGTTAAGGCTTGGCAGAGTGTGTTAGTCATGCAACACTTAAACTGAAGCTCATCAGAGTCATGGAAACATTCAGGAAAGATGCTTGTAGTCATGTTTAAGTAAAGTGCCCTACCAAACACAGTTGTTTTCATGCAATCATTTAGTCAGTTAGACAGCAGTATGGCTCAGTGCTACGGCAATTTCAAATGATTTGAAGCATGTGCTACTGTGACTCAAGGGTGACATCATGAGGATTTAATTTTCTTTGATCTTTTGAGATAAAGGAGCTTGGTGTACAATGGAAAACTGTATGGACTGCATGTGTATCAACACATGACAGCCTGCATTTACACATCAATGATGCCTACTTTATTTCAAAGGATCAGAGAGAGGGGGTGGAAAAATAGTCATGAAATACTATGATATGACCTAACTAACATTATATGTGGGCCTTATTGTATAAAAATATTTTTTTTATTAATTAAAAAAAAAAAAGTGTAATACACTTTTAGAAATAAAGGTTCTTTACGGGCATCTATGTTTCCATGAAGAAACTTTAATATCCATAGAAGGCTGGGAGGTTCTTTAATAGTGGAAAAAGTTCTTTAGATTGTTTTCCACACTAATTAAAAAAAAATATATAAATGGTTCTTTGAAGAACGGTTCACTGAAAGGTTCTTTGGGGAACAAAAAAAAATAGTTCTTCTAAGGAATCACTGCTTTTGGAACCATATTTTTATCCTTTAATATTTTCGGAATGTGCTAAAACCTTTGCAGTAGGTCCATATAAGGGGGCAAACGTCAATATAATTAACTGTAGATTAAAAAAAAATAAAATAGGAGTCTGTGTAGTGTCCCCATTTAGATGCGTGTATATTATGATATGCTTTGGTCTCTTAAAATGGTTTATTCTTTTACTTATTCTGATATTGTTCATCATTACATCCTTCTTTTTCTCACATCCCAGAGAGAGAGAGACAGAGACAGAGAGAGACAGAGAGAGACCAAAAATGCAACCGGACATGTGGACCACAGATGGGGCCTCCGGATGTGGGAGTTTTAAAACATGCATTAAAAGTTCAAAAACATTCCTCAGGACTTCATTTATGGCTTGTCACCGGTAGGAATTGTACAAACATCATATTTCTCTCCCAGAGGTCACAGGTCGACGTCGGAATTACACACATGCTGATATCCACATCTAGATATTAATGAGATCAGAGGTCACATCTGGATATTATTATGAGGTCAGAGGTCACATCTGGATATTATTGAGGTCAGAGGTCACATCTGGATATTATTATGAGGTCAGAGGTCACATCTGGATATTGTTATGAGGTCAGAGGTCACATCTGGATATTATTATGAGATCAGAGGTCACATCTGGATATTATTATGAGGTCAAAAAGTCAGTCATCAATCATATTGACGTTTGCCCCCTTTTATGGACCCTACTCTTTGTTTCCAATGCAGAGCACAACAATGATACAAATACACATGCAAAGACAGGCATACAAGTCTAAAACCAGAAAACAAGAGTATCCTCCCAATGACATTTAATGCTACTTCACTATAATTTAACTTCAGTAACATTTCGTTGATACTGCTTGGCAAATTAAAGCATTTTGATGGATGTTTATAGTTTTGACAGTATTGTGCTCAGAGGATCAAACAGTAGAGTGTGGCGCTAGCAACGCCAAGATTGTGGGTTCGATTCCGATGGAAAGCATAACCTGATAAAATGTATACTTTGAATGCAATTTAGATAGAAGTATCTACCAAATGCATAACTGTAAATGAACTTAAATTATACTCTACATATCAGGCATAAAAGTCAAATTATCAATTGTGTTTTATACAAAACTGTTGAAATTCCTCTGTTGAATTTCCAGTTTGTGTCCTGTGTAGAGTGTGTCTAATTCAACAGATTCACTCTCAATAACTAAAAGGGATCAATTCTTAAAATATGAATTTTGTCTCACCCTGATATGTACAATTCACTGCATGACATTTTATTGACCGTATCATTTTACAACAAATTTTTTTTTTTTGGATTGAATGGTTGTAAATGCAAAGTAAAGCAAAAAGTATTTGGACACCAAACCACATCCAAAAATGTCTGAAAGTCATTGCATCTTGATTAAAAACAAAACATATGGTCAAATTCCATGGGAGCATTTTTTCTCCACTACATTCTTTTCACTTTTCTTCATAAACTGTCACAATACTAATAAACAGACACTTGCACTAGTAATTCAACAGTGACATTCAGACATTTTTACTTGGCTTAGATGTCCAAATGCATGATTATTAATGCACTCCTTTAATACAATTATATAAAAGAAAAGCTATAAATTATTTTGATATTACTTTGCTTAATATTCAAAGCAGCATCATGTGTTCTCCATCGAAAGTCTTCTGACTTGCAAATGTAATTATACATCAGAATGGCTATAAAAATATTCTATATAATCAACCTGTAATGCTTTGGAATGCACATAACACACACACACACACACG